AGCTCCTGGGCAAGAGTATGAGATATCTCTGCACATCGTGAAAAACAACACTCGGGGCCCCGGCCTGAAGAGGGTGACAACCACCCGTGAGTATCATCCTTAGCACCACTGACACAAGGATAACGATGACTGTGCCGCAAAGCACCTCTGGTTGATAACACGCCCTCTTACAGAGCATCTGTATCAATCAGCTCATGCTACAAAAAAACCAAGCCCCAAACGTAATGACTAAAACAACAATTTTTCATATCGGTGATTTGGGGTTGGATGGTTTTTCTGTTCTTGGTTGGGCTCATTTATGCACTTGTGTGGGCTGGGGGCTGGTTGAGCGAGGGTGGTCTCAGCCAAGACGGTGCCCTTCTGCCCCACATGGTTCCTCAGCCTGCAGTAGGCTAACCTAGGCCTGAGCTCAGCGGGCTCACAGCTGGCACTGTGCCACTTCTGTCAAAGCAAACTCAAGGCCAGTCCAGATTTAAGGGGTGGGGAGACAGATCCATCCCTTCATGAGAGAAGCTTCACAGTGACATTTCAAAGGGGCACAGACACAGGAAAATAAATGAGACCATAGCAAATAATCTGCCACACCATCTGATTTAATATCAGTATCCAGTCCTATGAAAGAGGTAGGGCAAATATTAATGCTACTATCTTTCAAGAGTGGAAACCGAGGCTTAGAGAAGCTAAATCAATTTAACTAATGCCACATGGTTAATACTAGCAGGGCCAGGATTTTAAGCCTGGTTTTAGCTTTATAACTTTAATCCCATTACCAGTAACATTGACTAGGCTCTGGCTTACGTAGAGTGTTGATTCCATGTCTTCAACAGGAACCTGAATAAAATGTGACTCAGAACTTCCTTCCTAGGGGTAGAATAGGATTCGACACTGCCAGATCATTTGGAGGGGGGAGGAATCCTGAATTTGGAGTTGCTCTACCAAGAAGTAGATTTTTATAAATAAATTAATTAAATTATTTTGCACTGATGTTTGGGAAAATCTCTTTTATCTTCTTCAAGATAGCATATGTGCCAGTTGTTCAAGGAATTGACTCTTCTTGGCAGAGGGTTATTGGAAAAGTTAAATCTGTTGACTGATGACAAGAAAGAACATCTTGCATTTAAATATTTGCACATTTTGCTTAGCTCAGATCCAATTCATAAGACTGTCTTTTTTCATAAGCAAGTGTTTTCCATCATCCTGACAACATCCCACTGTGGTAGGTAGAAGGCGGGAACCAACAAGAAAAATTGTTAGATCACCAGAAAGGCATAGAAAAGAGCAAGCAAATGCTTATTTGCTAGAGAGACAGCACTCTGAAAACACAAAAGACATTTCTTTCATCTGCCCTTTTCTTTTTAATACAAATTTGGGGACTGGCTGCTTTATCTTCTTCTTGCAGGACAAACATTCCAACATTTGAAGTTTCAGAATCACATAAATATCAACAATGAGATGCAGATACTTATGTTTATTTTGCTGATACCTGAACTTTTTCCAGGTTTAAAGGACCTTAAAGTTTTCATTTTTAGCTCCTTCCCTCTCAGCTCTGTATAGAGACTGCATGACAGCCATTCCTGGCAGGTGAATGTTTCTGAGAGGCACCTTCATTTAAAGGAGAAAGAGCATGGGCTTTGGACACAAACCGTCCTGAGTTTGAATCCCAGCTTCCCTGCTCACCATCACGTCACTTTGGGCAGAGCCACTTCTTTAAACCTCAGACCCACCATCTGGAAACTGGGTTTATCGCCTCCTCCTATGGGGCTGTCATGACAGTTGAGTCGTAAGTGACATAGCACTGTGCTTGGCACATGGTAAGCACAAGACACTGTGAATCTCCTCTACTGAAGGGTTCTGGATCCAGGGGGAGATTCGCATCCCACACTGAATCCCAACCTCTTTAATAAAAGGGCTGTTAAATAGGACAGTAGGTGTGGTTCAGGTGTTTCCTAGAGCCTCTGAGAACACAGGACAGAGGTCTCACTGTTGGGTTGCAGCATCATTTTCGCTGTGCATTTTATGGGTTCATCATCTCTGAGCTGTGAGTGGGCAGGGTCCCTAAACCTAGAATTCAGAGAGGTACCAAACCCTAGAATTCAGAAAAGAAACCCTGCAGGTTTCTCACAATCAGCCGGGAATTACTCCTCCTTCTCATTTTGTTTATGAAACCAAGTTCCTTTCATTTGCTATTGTTTCCTCATCCAACGCTGAAAAAACCAACTTAACTATTTTAAAAAACGAAGAAAGAGACATTGACTGAGTGCCTTAATATCTTAATTTTAGGCTTTTCCTGAATGCCTGATGTGTTTTAATGTTTAATGTTTTAATGCATTAAATTTCTTTATATAATTAGAAAAAAAGAGGACATAAATGACAAACCCTGACACTATGCTGGGGATTAAAAACGGTCAAAGTCTCGCCCTTTGAATGAATGAATGGCCCAATCTAAACTGTATAATGCAGTTTGAATAAACTGTAGAGGAATGTGTTACAGGCTAGTGAGAAAAGGACACTATTAGGAAGCTTTTATTTTTAATTGTGGCAAGGACACTTAACCTGAGATGTAGCCTCTTAACGCACTTTTAAGTGTACAACACAGCCCTGGGCTATAAGCTCAGGGTCACACAGCTGATCTCTAAAACTTAACCACCTTGCAGACAGAAACTTTATACCTGTAAGGGAGGGAGTACGTGTTTATCTGTTTGCAACAAGGTCAAAGAAGGATTCTTGTTAAGGAGCAACATAAGAGCGGGATTTTTGAAGGACGAATAGATTTTTAGAGGGAGGGGGAAATTTCAGGACAAAGAAACGAACAGCAAGTGCAGGGGCCCGGAGGTGAGAATCAACACGGAGTGCTCTCAGAGGAGAAGCACGCTGTCAGAGCAGGAAACACAAGGTCGGTGGGGCGGGAGGGGAGCGGCGAGGCAGGAGGAAGGCCAAGATGGGGACTCAAAGAGAGACAAGGCTCGAGGTAGCCATGACTTTCCTGCCTGAAATTTTTTCATCAAAATTAACTTGCCATACGTTGTCAAGATAGTCATTGCCTCACTTTTCTCCCCCATTATTCTCACGGAGAAGTTACCAGTTAGGGAGTTTGCCTAATTAAAAAGCCAGCGCAACTAAGTCAGTGTTTTTCAAGTGACGTAGCCCCTAAGTGCATTTCTTCAACTTATGAGAATAATAATAATAACATAGTCACAACCATTTATCATATAACTACATGTTGCAGGCTTTGTGCTAGGGGTTTTGCATGCATTATTTCCTTCAATATTTGAAAAAACAACAAAACCTACAAGGTAGCTCTGTCATCATCCCCACTTATAGCTTATCAAACAGGAGGTTGAGGTTCCAAAAGATAAAATAAGGCCAAGTGGCCAGTATACACCTAAATGTACACACACGGATCTGAATGGCTGCAAGCCCCTTCTCTGTCCAGCCCCTACACTGGCCCGTATCTCTGAAACCCCTCTGTCCACTACCTGTCACAGGGTTGGACGCCCCCAGCCAGATAGAAGTGAAAGATGTCACAGACACCACCGCTCTAATCACCTGGTCCAAGCCTCTGGCCGAGATCGACAGCATTGAGCTCACCTACGGGGTCAAAGACGTGCCAGGTGACCGCACCACCATCGACCTCACACACGAGGAGAACCAGTACTCCATCGGGAACCTGAAGCCAGACACTGAGTATGAGGTGTCCCTCATCTCCCGCAGGGCCGACATGTCTAGCAACCCTGCCAAGGAGGCCTTCACAACAGGTAACGGGCCCCCCGCTGCTAACAGCACCAGGAAAGGGAAGACTGTGAGATTCCCACCCCCACTCCATGTCAGAGCGTCTGCCAGGCTCCTTTTACAGCAGGAAAAACAGAAAGGAGATTTTCATTCCTTTAATTTTATTTAAAAATATTGCAGCAATTGGACTAATTTTTCATAGAAAAAAAATTATCCCAAATAACCTTCTAAGGCAAAAGAAAAAGGTTTTGCCTACACAGAAGATGCTGCCTTGACATTCAGACACTTAGGTTAAAATAAAATTCAAATAAATACTTTAATAATAAAATGCAGTATATGGAAAACATGAATGACAAAGATGCCTTCTAACCTCAGCCTATGGCATTGTTTTAAAAGTACCAAAGTGTCAATCATTCATTCACAACATATTTTTTCAGAGCACAGTGAGCTCCATGTGAGTTATTAGAAATCCAGTGACGGAGGCAACAAACCTGTTGTTAGACTCAGAGAGCTTATTTGTGAGTTCTGGTACCTTTCTTATTAAGCACAAAATCGGTGGAAAACATGAATGATTGAGATATCACACACTTTAATAGTGAAGAAAGTGTCAAATGTGTAATATGTGTTTAGACTTGTGCATTAGCTACTGAGCCAGAGGGGTGTGGGGGCGATTTTGTCACTTCTCTCCCATGACAGGCACCTTCCATGTCTCACCTTCAACGGTCGAGCACTCCCGCTCCTCTGCTGCCTGGTGTTCTCAACACAAATGCTCTCTCCCAAACAGGCCTGGATGCTCCCAGGAATCTCCGCCGCATCTCCCAGACAGACAGCAGCATCACCCTGGAGTGGAGAAACGGCAAGGCGGCCGCTGACAGTTACAGAATTAAGTACGCCCCCATCTCCGGAGGTGACCATGCCGAGGTTGAAGTCCCCAGGAGTCAACAAACCACAACCAAAACCACGCTCACAGGTCAGCCCTGCTTCCCCCGACCCCACTGGCCCTCCAGAGACAGAGTAAAGGCAGTTCCCAGCAATCCCTCTCACTTGGGCATTAGTGAGTCAGTCTGTGGAACATTCTGGACATTGAGAAGTCGCAGCCTTCAGGGACTAGCTCAGGGCCATTTTAATCCAGCTTTGGGTGGAATCTCAACCTGTGCATTCTCTTTTAGGTCTGAGGCCAGGAACCGAATATGGGATTGGAGTGTCTGCCGTGAAGGGGGACAAGGAGAGCGACCCAGCCACCATCAATGCGGCCACAGGTGAGTCCTGGATTCCCACCGCTGGGCTGGCACCAGCAGACACGACAGGACCTAGGAGGCAGGAAATCTATTTAAAAAGAAACAGTAAAAGCCCAGAGGGGAAAGGGGCTTCCAGGATTATCTAGCCCAGGTGAATTCCCCCCGTAAATGGTGCCGACGTCACTCTCTGTCTGCAGGAAGGGGTGCAGAGGACTCTTTCACAGAAAATTAGAACCAGACTTCACAAGAAATCTATACACTTTTAAAAGCTGGTAACCAAGTCAATTTTTTTAGAAACCATAGCCTAATCACAACACATCTGGGGCATTTGCTCTTAGAAAACAGTTAACTTGTGTTATATACCCTCGTCATACAGATTACAAGCGGCCAGAGCAGAGTTTAAGGGAGTCTTTGCTCTTACTCACTGCATCCTGCAGCTTCAGTGTCTGGGTGAGGATGATGAAGGGCTGTATGATTTGAAGTCACTGATTCTTGCCACAAGTTTGTGTTTTTTTTTCATCCTGGAAAATTTGTTAAAAAAAAAAAAAGAAGAGAGAGAGAGAGAGAGAACTCTTTACTTTCTGCCAGCTTCCGACAGTGATGAAAAGGGAGGCTGATATGCACAGTGTCCTCAGGCATCATGCTTCATCAAGCTTCCTCATTATGCAGGATTCAATGCTGAGCGCTTCCATTCATATACTTTTTTTAAATCTTTTTATTTGGAGGTAATTGTAGGTTCACATGCAGTTGGGAGAAATAATGCCGAGAGATCTCCTAAACCCTTCGTCTAGTTTCCCCCAGTGGTAACATTTGTGTAACAGCAGAGCGATATCACAACCAGGAAACTGACATTGACACAACCTATCAACGCTATTCAGATTTCACCAGTTTCACGCAGCACTCGTGTGTGTGTGTGTGTGTGTGTGTGTGTGAATTTAGTTCTATGCAGTTTCATCACTTGTAGATTTTGGAATCCACCCCTACAGTCAAGATGCTAAATAGTTCTATCACAAGGATCCCTCTTGCTACAAGTTTTTATAGCCACAGGTACCTCCCTCCCTCCCCTTCACCCTAAACTTCACCCTAGCCCTTGGCAATCACTAATCTGTGCCATTTCAAGAATGCTACACAAAGAGAATCATACACAACCTTTAGAGATTGGCTTTATTACTCAGCCTAATTCTCTTGAGATCCATTCAAATTGTGTCTTGTGTCAATAGTCAGTTCCTTGTAAACGCTCTTAATTGAGTATGATTTCATGGCATGGATATACCATTACATTATTCTTGATCTTTCAAAAACCCAGTGAGGTAAGGTACAACAATGGTATTTCACCAAGGTGAAAACTGAGGCTCAGACAGGTGAGCTGCTCGAAACCACCCGGCCCCTCTATGGCAGACCTGGGACAGCAGCCCACGACCAGCTTTCAGCCCTGGAAGCAGTCCTGCCCCAAAGCCTGAAGGGTGTTCATCTCTCCATTTTCCTCCCAGACATTGATGCGCCTAAGGACCTTCAGGTCTCTGAGCCGACGGAGACCGGCCTGACCCTGCGCTGGAGGACGCCACTGGCCAAGTTTGACCGTTACCGCCTCAACTACAGTCTTCCCTCCGGCCAGCCAGTGGAGGTGCAGCTTCCCAAAGACAGCACCTCCTACGTCCTGAGAGGCCTGGCACCTGGACAGGAATATGCCATCCTCCTCACAGCAGAGAAGGGCAGGCACAAGAGCAAACCCGCACGGGTAAAGGCGTCCACAGGTGAGGCCAGCCCCTGAGCTCTCTCCCCACCCGCTGTTGGCTCTGAGACTTGCAGACTCATCAGCCAGGTCGTCTTCCAGTGAGAAAACCAGATGGGAAGATGTGCGACTTTCTCTGCTCACGAATCCTCTAAATGCCATTTGAAACAGCTACTTACATCTCTTTTCCTCTAGTCAACTGACTCAGCAAAGGTCCCCAGCTGGGCAATGAATAGTGGTTTTTAAATATTTTTTCCTAGGAGAACTTAAAGCATCAGAGTTTGTGTTTGTCTTTGGTTCTTTTTTTTTTTTTTTTAACTTTGTGCATTTCATAGAATCTTTAGTTTTTATATTTTTCTTTCCTTCCTCTTTAGCACAACTAATTAGTTTTTCATTTTATTTCTTTTCAAGATGACCAAGATGTTGGGAATAATTCTTTGGCTATTTCCCATTAAACATTTTTTTATTTCAGGTCTTTTGCTTTCCTCTAAGGTTACCTGAAAAGTTGCACACGGTCTTTTGCGCCTTCCATGGTGCCCTGCTCATTTTCTCTTTTCTGTTAGTCACGAAGAGGTGAACCTTGTTTTTCCATGACAGCTTAAGTCCTGACCTCCAGTATCCCTTCTAGCTGAATTATCCTGTTCTTTGTACCTGCTTCCACATTTTCTCAGTGGCTAAATTAAAAAAACAATCAGAAAAAAAAATCAGTTCTTCCTATGTGAAAAATATGTACATTTAATTTTGGCCCCCAAATATTCAAGAAGTATAGGTGGAAAATGTTCATTCATTAGGGTATGACAAGTAATAATCTTTAGTTTCAATTTAATTAGTAAGTACTTATTGAGAACCCACTGAATACATTGTTGTACACTGATATTTGAGGAAAAAGTGGATTACGTACTTAGCATTATTATTTTTGACTCAAGTGCTTCTGCTCACAGTCCTTGGGGAAGACCAGACATTCAGAACGTTTGACGGAACACAGTCAAGGAAAGGGAGCAGCCAGAGAAAGTGTCATAGCAGAGATGCTACTCTAGCTGAATCTCGATAAGAAAAGGGGCTGTAATCATGGGCATATTTGGAAGTTCCTTGCAGAGTTTCTGTCATTTATAAACACTTTCACGTGCATATAACTGAAATCTCCAATTTTTAATAGCAAGATAAAAGTTGCTTTCCTCTCTCATAAAGTAAGAAGTCTGAGGTCAGGTGGGTCAGGGGTGGCATAGCAGTTCCAAAGTACCAGGGACTTAGGCTCCTTTTATCTTTCTGTTCCATGAGCCTTAGTCTTTAGCTTCCAGTCTCAAAGTCACCTCCATGTCACAACATGGCTGCTTCAGTACAGCCTTCTAGGCAGCATGAAGGAGGAAGAACCAGAACCAAAACCAAAAAAATGTACCTCCTAGATCAGTCTTTCTGGAAAGACTCACCAATGATTTATGTTTACATTTCACGGGCCGATTCTAACAAAGTCATTCTAGTAAGTCTAGGAAAGGTAGTCTTCTGGCTGAGTGTGTTGTTGCCAACATAAAACTGCGGTTGTTTGTAATGAAGAAAGAGAGAAAGGGTATTTGTTTGGTAGGCAAAGAGCAGCCTCTTCAGTAGAGTCTAATGTGAGCTCAGGTAGTCAATTCTATTGACGTGCATGGACTGCTTCCCACCCAACTGTGAGACGATCGTCAAGGGTGCTCTGGACGGGGTGGCTTAGACACAGATGAGAGAGAGGAAGAAGAAATCAGGAAGAAGAAATCTATGGCAGAGATGTGAATAATTCAGCTGTATAAACTCGAGCTTGTTACAAGTGTCAAGGAAAACAAACGGATCAGAGAAACAAAAGGGAATTTCTTCTTCTGCCTCCCCCTTCTCCTCTCCCTGCTCCCTCCTGTCCTTCCTCCCTCCCTCTCTTCCTGCCTCTCTCTCTCTCTTTCCCTCTCTCTCTTCCTCCCTCTCTCTTCCTCTTCCCTGCTTTTTTCAATCAGAAGAGCTCCGCATCCCCACTCAATCATTTGTCCCACTGGCTATAGCCACTTTACTGCCTGTCTCCAGTGGGGAATCCCCAGGTCTCAGCAGCTCAGGGAGATGAAAGCTTTCGACTGAACCGCAGGCTGGAATTACTTTGTCTGTGACTAAGAGCCCAGTTTTGGTATCCCAAGGGCTCAGTGGTTTCATTTTCCTAGTCATGCCTCTTTAACACTGTTTCAAAGAAATCACATTGTATATTTAAAGACATTCCTCATTACAGGAAAAATGTGCAAAGTCCCCTTTACGGGCTCCTCCCCCATTGTCTCTGGAATATTTCTCCCTATGGCTTCTCCATAGCCCTATTTTATTTTATTAAAAGTGAGGTGGACATTTCTTTCCTTTACCTGAAGTCCATCTTCCCAATCTCCTATACTTACTCAGTCCGTAGTGTACCACAGCCGTGCTCCGGGCTAGGCTCTAGGGGTCCTGGGGCAGTGAAGACAGGTCTGTGCTTCCAAGGAGCTCACTATCTAGGAAACAGACAGACCCACACAACACTTCCCTAACTCTAACTGCAGGTGTGGAGGGTACAGCAGGGGAAGCACAGGATGCCCCTGAGCTCAGAAAAGTCTTAAAATGGGAAGAAAATTTGGACAGAACAGAAAAGACAAACAGGGGTGTGCTGTGGAATAGGTAAAGAAGAAGTCCAGGCACCTGGCCTTGGTAAACACATGGGGAGAAGAATAACAGGAAAAGTGGGAGTGGGAGTGCATGGGTGAATGTACCATGTACCTATGAGTCCTGAAATGTCAAAGGGCTGTAGGTTCCAACGTCAGAAGAAAGGGCCTCCCAGTTCTGCATCACTAGATACTTAAAAGCAGAAGTCTGCAAAGTACCACCTGTTGTCTGTGGGTTTTACAGAGAAGATGTCAAACTGGCTGCCCCAGAGAGCTTTTCCCAGAGAATTCCAGGGCTCTAGCCTTGGCATTACCTAGCTGCTTATCACACCTGAAATAAAACCCAAAGACCAACCACAGGCTGCACAGCCCTATAGAATCTGGTCCTTCCCATCTCTCTGACTTCACTCACACCACTTGTCCCCTTGCAGTCACCTGGCCTTCTCACTGTTCCTTAAGTATGCCAAGCCTGCTCCTACCGTAGGGCCTTTGTACATGCTATTCCTGCTGCCTAGATACCTCTCTTCTCCCAGTTCTTCACATGGCATCTCCCTCATTTCATTCAGCTCAAGTATCATCCCAAAAAACTTCTTTGGCCACCAATCCAAAGTGGTGCCCTATCCTGATTTATCCTTTCATGCTGCTCCAGAGTTCCTCATGACACATACCTGGCCTGATATTATCTAGTAGTTGGTTTATCTATGGCCTGCCTCCTACTACTGACCAGAATGTAAGGACTTTGTCTCCTTTATCCAGTGCTGCAGCCCCAGTACCTTGAACACACATACACATATGCACACACATGCATACACACACACAAACACATGGCATGTGCTTCATAAGGATTTGGGGACCCCAGCTCCTCCAGAGGCAGTGTTTCCGTTGAACCCTCCGGTCTTTTTCTTTCATCTCTGTATCAACAGCCCAAATTCTGTCTCTCAAGGATTAAGGGAAAGGGAGTCATTCTCTAGTCTTCAATTAAGCTTACTCCGGATAAAAAAAGGAAGGAAAGAAAGAAGGATGGGAGGGAGAGAGGAAAAAATGGAAGAAGAAACAAAAGAAGGAAAGGAATGAAAAGAGGCACTATCCCTGTTAGCTCTGAACAAAACCAGTGTGTGCCAGGCATCTTCCCCACCCCAACCCCTGCATCTGT